GCACTCACTTACTCACGCACTCACTCACGCACGCACTCACTCACGCACTCACTCATGCACTCACTCATGCACTCACTCACGCACTCACACACGCACTCACTCACGCGCTCACTCACTCACTCACGCGCTCACTTACTCATGCACTCACTCACTTACGCACTCACTCATGCACTCACTCACTTACGCACTCACTCACGCACTCACTCACGTACTCACTCACGTACTACTCATTCACGCACCCACTCATTCACATACTCATTCACGCACTCACGCACCCACTCATTCATTCATGCACTCACTCACTCTCGCATCCACTCACGCACTCACTCACTCAGGCGGATGCAACCACATTTGGCAATGTGATTTGTAACTTTTGGTCCTTAATTATGCATTTTAGTGACTTTCTTAACTTTCCTATACTTTGCACTCCAATTGTTTTTTTTATTGTTCGTTGTTGTAACTTGCTGACCTGCCCCTACTGGACATCGGTGAGAAAGAGTTTCGAAGCTCACGGGATTTTCCGAGGATAAATAACGATTCTGATTGTGACATTGGGTTTTTATTTTCCATAATTTTCACCCAATTAATGACGAGTGTTTATTATCCACGTGGGGAAGGGTAAACCTGAGCACCCGGAGTGAGGGGGCAACGCTCTATCCCTCGTACAGATGGAAACAGATGGCGATTAGCCCACTCGCTGCACCGCCGTCTGCTGGCGAGCCAGGGGTACGGCAATCTCCTTCTCGACCTCCACGTGGAAGGGAGTTTCACAGCCCCATCTGTGTGTGATCCACCAACCCTCGCTGCTGCCTCCACAACGCTGGATCACGGCAGCCACGTGCAGCACAGCCACCGCCACTCGGGCCCTACTTCACGGTGATGCCAGGTTGTAAATCGGTGTGCCGTCAATGGATGCCGAATAGATTTAGGAGCACGCAGACGTTGTGCTCATAAAATAGCAGGAAGAGAGAGAGAGAGCTCCCATCATGCCCTGCACCCCAAGCCTGTAGGGGCGCACCTTAAGCGTGTTGTTCCAAAATCGAATCATCGTCAGCCTGCACGCATCTTCCTGCTGCCATGGGTTTGCTCATAATTTGCATTAAGTATTGGCTTTGTTTAGTTAAAGATGTCAAACGCGTTGGCTTGGTGAAATACAGTGGCAATGCGCGTCCAAACCGGGACAAAATACACCACAAGAATAATAATTCTGCACCATTTATTGTAATTTACTACTATAATTAGCCAATAATGTATGTGTGTCGACCAGCCCCCCTCATTAATAATCAAGGGTATTTCCCTGTCCCCAGACGACCTGCTTGTCAGTTTTGATGTGGTTTCCCTATTCACCAAAGTGCCTGTACCTGACACCATCGCAATCATTGAAGACTTGGTTCATCAAGGACTGCATATTGATGTACCCCCCCCTGGTGAGACACTGCTTAACCAACACATACTTCACCTGGAATGGAACTTTCTACAAACAAACTGAGGGCACCCCAATGGGCTCCCCCCTATCTCCGGTTGTAGCCAACATTTCATGGAAAAATTTGAGACTGACGCCATCCAGACTGCCACTCTACGCCCGACCTTATGGAGGAGGTACGTGGATCACACTTTTGTCATCTGGCCACATGGCCGGCCTGCTCTCGACCAATTCCTCGACCACATCAATTCCATACACCCAGCCATAAGATTTACCATGGAAGTCGAATAAGATGGCAAGCTACCCTTTTTGGATGTCCTAATTAAAAGGAGACCTGATGGTTCAATGAGCCACTCTGTCTACAGGAAAGCTACCCATACAGATGCTTACTTAAAAACGGATTCCCACCACCATCCATCCCAGAAGAATTCCCTCATCAAGACTCTATACCATAGAGCCCAATGCATTTCCGACCAGGAACACATTGCTAGTGAACTCAAGCACGTACACCAAGCTCTCAAGGCTAATGGTGACTCCGACTACACAATCCGCAAAGCCATCACTCCAACCACGAAGAAGGATCATCTTGAGGAGCCATTCAAAACCATCATCTTACCCTACATTGCGGGGGTCACACAAAATATCTCCAAAATCCTGAATAAACACAAGATCCAGGTCCGATTCAACACAGTACATAAAATCCGTGATCTGGTTGAGTCTGTAAAAGATGTGTTTCCAGACATACAGTACCCGGGCGTCTACAAACTAAGTTGCCTCTGTGGTAGCAGCTACATTGGAGAAACCAAACGACATATCTCGGACCGCATCCGTGAACATAAAGCAGACTTGAAACATGGTAGGACGAACACCTCAGCCGTGGCAGATCACTGTTATGATTCAGTGGGCTCACATGACATTGACTTCTCCAAGACGGAGGTTCTCTGCAAGCCATCCGGCTACCATGAGAGATTCGTTCATGAGACTATCCACATATACAAACACAGAGACAATTTCAACCGAGAAGATGGATTCCGGCTTAGTAACCATTGGAAAGACGTTATAAACCATTTCGGTTCTTGATTGATTGTAGTCCATTCGCTGGCACTGCCTCTTAGTACCTTTCACACGACGGTCAATAGTATAGTTTATAGCATTTTGTATAATAAATAGTATAACAGTGTAATGTTTAACATAATTCATAAGGCAATATATAGTACCGTAATTGTATAGTGAATATACAGCAGCGTGGTATACAGTAGGGTTAGTAGAATAATACATAGTGTAATATTTTATAGTCTAAAGTATAGGGTAGTGTATAGTAACGCATTGTATAATTCAAGGGTGGGGTTTGTCTATGGATACGATATTATACAATGTAGTTTAGATTGGAAGGTATAATATTGTCATGTATAGTAGTCCAGTTTATAGCATAGTTATAACGCAACACAGGACAGAGCAGCGCACCTTGGCTGCTTCCTCCTCTCCCCCCCCCACCTCCTCCGTTCCGAACATAGATGGACTCGTCCGTCTGAACAAAGCTCGTCGCTCTCCGTGGTGCTAATCCCTCACACCAGCATCATGCTAATCCCCCAGTTACATGCTAATTTATATGTAAACTCCTTTGTCAAGGCGCTCTGTTCCTCCCACACAGCTTAAAAGACGCTGTCAAGCTTGGCAGGGTTCACTCAAGCGCTGTCTTCCGGACAGTCCTGTTTCTTCACCTGAGGAAGGCTACTTGTGTTGTGGCCGAAACGTCGTGAGAATTTTATTCTGTTATTATTTTGTTTAATTATTTTATCTCCATTCTACGTCACTTTACCGAAAGAACCCAGAAGATGAATCCCTGCAGTCACGAAAACTTTAAATCGAAATCATGAACAGGTTACGTCCTCCACATGGACCCCCTCCTCATTAATAATCATGAGCGGGTGACGTCACTCCGCATGGAGAACCCTCCCCTCATCAATAATCATGAGCGGGTGACGTCACTCCACATCGAACAGCTCCCTCATTAATAATCATGAACAGGTGACGTCCTCCAAATGGACACCCCCCCATTCATAATAATTAGCGGGTGACGTCACTCCACATGGGGGGGGGGGGGGGCGAGGCGCCTCCTCCCCCCTCCTCGGCGTCAACTGACAACCCTCACTGCAAAGGCAGAACCCTCACGTCATCACGTGATCTCCGTAACGCTGTTGAGACATCGAAGTAAAAAGGACGTCGTGATGAACAAGGGATTATAACTTTTATACATTAAACAAGTCTGTGTCACCGCGGCCTTACAAATTGCGCACGAATTGATGCAATGAATATCAAGTCGCGGTCTGATTTTCGCTTGCAAGTGTCAGATTTACTGCAATACACACGTGCTAGGACGGGCAAAAGGCAAGTTCATGATAAAGGTTTTTTTGTTGGGTTAGATCACGTAAACATAAATGTGGCGTTAACCCACTACCGCCAATGAGTAAGGTTTGTCACGTTAACAAAACGTGCCAATTAGTTACCACTTCAGCACACCGGTGTGTTGGAGAGTAAAAACGCACAACCTTTACAATTTGCTTTTTAACATTTATAAATGTTGTCGTGGGTTTACTCTCGAACACACCGGTGTACTGAAGTGGTAATTAATTGCCACGTTTTGCTTACGCGACAAACCTTCTTAATTGGCTGTGTCGGGTGGTGGTGGGTTAACGTCACATTTACATTTACGCGATATAACGAACAAAAAAACCCCCTCATTATGAATAACATTGGTCGCGAAAGCCTTCGTGTTTAAAGTTATTGTCATGTTCTGCCATACGGTAGAGATCTTGGGGACACAATAGCTTGCTGACCTCTTCAAGGACCGTGAACCATCACGCGAACGGTCCAGGCATCGCCGCAGTGGATTTTGGCGATTGAACAAAGATGCTCGCTGCATCGCACGCTGTCAGATGCGATTCTGCGGCCGTCTGGAACGCTCTCCCTTTAGATATTAGGAAGCCACTGGAGCTATGCACTTTTTAATCATTTAGTTTGACTGACTAATGTCTTTAGAACTGCTTTTCACGTTTAGTTTGATGTCCTTCCCCCGCACCTCCAATTAGCACGGCGGGATACGTACGGTCCAAAAGAAGTTTAGCATGCATACGCAGGACACACGCATTGTTACATAGGTCGAGATACAAATCTCAAGATCAGAATATTTCTTTCTACTGGAGAGATCCGATGAGCTATGAAGCTCGTTTTAACAGATATCCGGTCGGGGCGGATCAGAGGGTTACAACAACAAACAGTACAAAACACGATAGGGGTGAAAAGTATAGGAAAGGCAAACACAATCACTTAAAAATATACAAATAAAAGTAAAAATGATTTATCTAACGAGGTAAATACCACTCAGCTATTAACTGATTTTTCAGAAGCGACCTGGCCACAAATGATAGCTCAACAAAAATTGCTTATCACCTGGAAAACGCATAGCAGCAAAACAATAAAATAATCACAATGCCCGTTGATTCTAAATGTGGAGGGGAAAACCCGGAGCACCCGGAGACTTAAAAAAATCCACGTGACCACGGAGCCGAGAGAGAGAGACATGCAAACTCCATGTATTTGGGGACACGGGACGGCGGTGGGGCGGGGGAGAGACTCCACGTGAGACGGAAGCTCATTTCGCAAGGTCCCAACCACGTGTGCGAGGCGAGGCGACCGCTGTGTAAGCTTCCTTCGGGAATTTTTTGTTCACGGCAGTTTGCGTGCTCGCCACCCCGGGGGGTGGTGTGGGGAGTCGCCACCGCCTCCCCCTGTCCCTTGCGCGGTGCTTCAATCGTCCGCGCGCCTCACGTCACGGCGACCGCTATAGTTGGGGCGTTCGCTCGCTGTGAGCCGGGTTCCTTAGGGGGGGGGGGGGGGGGGGGGGTGGTGGTGGGGATGAATTGAAGACAGGGCAGTGACGGGTGGAATGACACCTGGAGGGGTGGGTAGGAGTTTTCGTGGCAATTAAAGGCGGCGAAAGGTCACCGCTTCCAGATTTAATCACCAGCTCGTCCAGTCCAAGGGGAAATCCTCGACCACGTCACTTCCCCTGCCTTTGAATCAAAGCCGTGCGCTGAAATATCTCAACGGAGAGAAATGTAGATTGTATGTGTCTATATTGTTGGGAGAATGCGAAAGATTGTATGGATGCGGTCAATTATGGAACATCCATTTTCTGATTCCATGGTTGGCTGGCATCTAAATTGACGATTGCCACGAAGAAAATAAACACCGCAAGTTGTTGTTGCGGCATGCCAACGACGAAGATCCCCCCGTGCAGCCTGTAACAGACTGTCGGGGCAAGTGCTGTTAGCGACTAGCACATATGAATACCGGCACGGCACACAAAGGGGTTGGTGGCCGGCACCACGCACGGCCGCCTTTGTCTCCCCAGTGGTAATATTTTTGACACACCTCAGCAGGTACTCATTTGAAGCTGAGTCGACCTAGGGGAGGCTCAGGACCGGTTCAGATAATCGTTACGAGTGTTGGCCGTGAGCGGGAATCGAACTCGCTTCGCCTGGTTCATTATAACTGCTACACCACCGTTCCCCACTGTTATGCAGTAAATACAAAGACCAAGATACCCCGTGTAGCCTTGTAACAGACTGTTGGGGCACGTTTGTACACAAACACTCACAACAACGTTGTATGAGCCCAGCGACCTGAGTTTGATTCCCTGCCATGGCTGACTGCCATCAGTGGCGAGTCATATCGGAACCGGTCCTGCGCCCATCGCTTTCACAAACCCGCACTCACCAGCGTGGTGAAGTATGGATAAACAACCCCTCCCCCTGTGATTGACACGTGGTGGGGTGACTTTCATCCAGCAGTGGATAAACTAAGGGCTGAAAAAATATATCGTTATTGAAAAGAAGGCATTACGGTTGCCAACGTATCAGTATGGATGGTATTAAGTTGGTTTTATTATTTTTATTGAGTTGTATCTTGGCAAAGCGGTTCTGTGGTCAGAGTGGCGATTACGCACAATCAGATTAAGCGTTTCAAATCTTGGTTGAGGGTCGACTCAGCTCATCATCCCTACACGGTCGATACAATGGGTGCAACCCTTTTTGGGAGTCGAAACTAAACTTTGTATTTTAGCAGGTAAGGGCCCACTGAGCTACGTAGCTCATTTTCAGAAGCGACCTGGCTTTTACGAATGATAGCTCAACGAAAATGTCACGCAACCACGGGGAGAGAGACACGCAAACTCCATAAATACAGGCGTCATGGTCGGGATCGAACCCACGACCTCCTGTATACCAGGCGAAGCAGTTAACATCTCGCCACCGTGGCGCCCACAGTGGTTGTCCTGGGGGCAGACTGGACCAGGGCATAGGAATGTGGAATTGCCATCACTCGTTTTGGGTAGACAATAATTACGGGGAAGTGAGTTGACGGTTAAATGCAGAAGTGAAAGGTTCCCCTGAGAAGACGGTATCATTTGGTAAAGACAACAACAACAACCCTTTGCGACAGTGAGTGGCTGGCAAGAGCTGAAATCGACGTGGAAATTCCACATTCCTACGTTATGGGGCCAGCCTCATCGTGGAATAAAAGCCGCACTCATCTCATCAAAGTGAAAATACCCGTAGATGGTGGCACTGGCCCACGCATTTGCATGGGTGCGGAGTTCCTGCAATTTCGTTAGCCAGTGGCACTCGCTGGCACAATCAACAGTCAAAATTACAAAGATCCCCCGTATAGCCTTCGCAGACTTTTGGGGCAAGTGCTGTTAGTGGGTAGCACCTGTGAAGGCCGGAGCGGCACACGAGGGGGTGTTGTGACCAGCACCACGCCTAACCGCCTTTGTCTCCCCAGTGGCGATGTTTACACACCACATCAGATACTTATTTTCGGCTGAGTCGACCTAAGAGAGGCCCAGGACTGGTTCATATAATCGTCACTAATGATGTCCGTGTGTGGGAATCAAACTCGGGTCGCCATATTCATAGCGCGCTCACCGCTACACTCCTGCTCTCCAACAACATGTACAATACATATATACATACATATGAACATACATGTATGTGCACAAAGACAAAGATCCCCATATAGCCTGATCAGACTGTAGGGGCAAGTGCTGTTAGCGAGTAGCACCTGTGAAGGCCGGAGCGGCACACGAGGGGATGTTGTGGCCAGAACCACGCCCGACCGCCTTTGTCTCCCCAGTGGCGAAGTTTACACACCACACCAGGTACTCATGTAAGGCTGAGTCGACCTACATATACAACACATATACATACATACAACATATACACCACGTATACACACATATACACGCATACAACATATGCGTACACATATGGCATTGAGAGGTTATCGGATGACTCATGGGTCAGAGCGGTGAGCTGTCAACCGCTAGAATCCTGGGTTGAAATTCAGGTTGCCATCCGTGATTCAATAGTCGTCTCAATTGTAGGGAGCTGCTCACCATTAACCGCACACGCACAAAAACCTCGGTGTCGTCTCTTGGCATCTCCATAGCTGACATCTCTGTCCCCTTTTAAACTGACTCCACGATTCAAATCACGAACGCTTATATGTGAACGTCCTTTTACCACATCGCATTCTTTCACTTAAATTCGGTTCACAATTCCAGTTCTGAGAATTAAAGTGTTCGCCTTGACGAGCCGTTCCTTGGAAGTCTCTTCCTTTTGTCGCGGGCAAGATGCAGCGTCCCCGGATGCTTTGAATTGATTTCAAAAGTGCTTCTGCGATGCCTGCTTCCGCGGGCCTTTCCCAACCACAAGGGCGATGCACTCTTCCGCGATTGTTACGGAGTTACACTTTGCAAGACAACAATTTGCGGAAAAGGAGGCAAAACTTAATTTATATTATAAGGATCCTCCATCTTGATCACCTGTGGCGCCTTGAAAGGACTTTAAACACAGACGGTGTATTAGTGCATTGAGATTAGGAATAGCATTTTTTAAGTGACATGTACAGCCGTTAGCCGTTTTGTGAATCCACTGCTGGATGGGGAGAGGGGCAGTGCCGGATGACGCTAGTGCAGGGCCTTTAGCACGTGATGTTATAAAGGGGCCCTAAATAAAAAAAACACGTACATATTAAAACACATTTTTTTTTACTTCCATAGTAAAGTAATTGTATTTTAAAATTTGCTATACAGCCAGATAATACGACAAATCGCTAAGCTTAAACACTCAGTCGTTCATAAAAGTTGAAGGCGGTATAGTACTATAGTGATAGAGCAAGTGCAGAATCACTGAACCAGAATTGACGGCTTGAAAGCATTTAGCGCGGGGCCCTTGAAAGTGCGGGGCCCCTATGTAGCTACTACATGTGTACTACATGTGTACTACATATGTAGCTACTTTTACTATGAGGATAATCCGGCACTGAGGGGGGGCTTCCCACGCCGTGCGGGTCGTCGGGGAGTTGTTTGGCCATACTTCACCACGCCGGTTAAATCGGGATGGTGAAGGCGGGAAGCATAGCCGTGACAGCACGGGTGCACGTACAGATCAATATGTAATGGGATTCGACGCACTGCCCCTCGCTTCCCGTAACGTGGCCCAAGCACATCCTGCTAGCGGCTGTGTGTTCACGTGCTAGCGGCTGTCTGTGCACGCGCTAGCGGGTGTCTGTTCACGCGCTAGCAGCTGCCTGTTCACGTGCTAGCGGCTGTCTGTGCACGCGCTAGCGGCTGTCTGTTCACGCGCTAGCGGCTGTCTGTTCACGCGCTAGCGGCTGTCTGTTCACGCGCTAGCGGCTGTCTGTTCACGCGCTAGCGGCTGTCTGTGCACGCGCTAGCGGCTGTCTGTTCACGCGCTAGCGGCTGTCTGTGCACGCGCTAACGACTGTGTGTTCACGTGCTAGCGGCTGTCTGTTCACGTGCTAGCGGCTGTCTGTGCACGTGCTAGCCGCTGCGTGTTCACGTGCTAGCGGCTGTCTGTTCACGCGCTAGCAGCTGTCTGTTCAGTTGCTAGCGGCTGTCTGTGCACGCGCTAGCGACTATCTGTGCACGCGCTAGCGGCTGTCTGTTCACGCGCTAGCGGCTGTCTGTGCACGCACTAGCGGCTGTCTGTTCACGCGCTAGCGGCTGTCTGTTCACGTGCTAGCGGCAGTCTGTTCACGCGCTAGCGGCTGTCTGTTCACGCGCTAGCGGCTGTCTGTTCACATGCTAGCGGCTGTCTGTGCACGCGCTAGCGGCTGTCTGTTCACGTGCTAGCGGCTGTCTGTTCACGCGCTAGCGGCTGTCTGTTCACGCGCTAGCGGCTGTCTGTTCACGCGCTATCGGCTGTCTGTTCACGCGCTAGTGGCTGTCTGTGCACGCGCTAGCGGCTGTCTGTTCACGCGCTAGCGGTTGTCTGTTCACGCGCTAGCGGCTGTCTGTGCACGCGCTAGCGGCTGTCTGTGCACGCGCTAGCGGCTGTCTGTGCACGCACTAGCGGCTGTCTGTTCACGCGCTAGCGGCTGTCTGTTCACGCGCTAGCGGCTGTCTGTTCACACACTAGCGGCTGTCTGTGCACGCGCTAGCGGCTGTCTGTTCACGCGCTAGCGGCTGTCTGTTCACGCGCTAGCGGCGGTCTGTGCACGCGCTAGCGGCTGTCTGTTCACGCGCTAGCGGCTGTCTGTGCACGCGCTAGCGGCTGTCTGTTCACGCGCTAGCGGCTGTCTGTTCACGCGCTAGCGGCTGTCTGTGCACGCGCTAGCGGCTATCTGTGCACGCGCCAGTGGCTGTCTGTTCACGCGCCAGCGGCTGTCTGTGCACGCTCTAGCGGCTGTCTGTTCACGCGCTAGCGGCTGTCTGTTCACGTGCTAGCGGCTGTCTGTTCACGCGCTAGCGGCAGTCTGTTCACGCGCTAGCGGCTGTCTGTTCACATGCTAGCGGCTGTCTGTTCACGTGTTAGCGGCTGTCTGTTCACGCGCTAGCAGCTGTCTGTTCACGCGCTAGCGGCTGTCTGTTCACGCGCTAGCGGTTGTATGATCACGTGCTAGCGGCTGACTGTGCACGCGCTAGCGGCTGTCTGTTCACGCGCTAGCGGTTGTCTGTTTACGCGCTAGCGGCTGTCTGTGCACGCGCTAGCGGTTGTCTGTTCACAGCGCTAGCGGCTGTCTGTTCACGCGCTAGCAGTTGTCTGTTCACGCGCTAGCGGCTGTCTGTTCACGCGCTAGCAGCTGTCTGTTCAGTTGCTAGCGGCTGTCTGTGCACGCGCTAGCGACTATCTGTGCACGCGCTAGCGGCTGTCTGTTCACGCGCTAGCGGCTGTCTGTGCACGCACTAGCGGCTGTCTGTTCACGCGCTAGCGGCTGTCTGTTCACGTGCTAGCGGCAGTCTGTTCACGCGCTAGCGGCTGTCTGTTCACGCGCTAGCGGCTGTCTGTTCACATGCTAGCGGCTGTCTGTGCACGCGCTAGCGGCTGTCTGTTCACGGGCTAGCGGCTGTCTGTTCACGCGCTAGCGGCTGTCTGTTCACGCGCTAGCGGCTGTCTGTTCACGCGCTATCGGCTGTCTGTTCACGCGCTAGTGGCTGTCTGTGCACGCGCTAGCGGCTGTCTGTTCACGCGCTAGCGGTTGTCTGTTCACGCGCTAGCGGCTGTCTGTGCACGCGCTAGCGGCTGTCTGTGCACGCGCTAGCGGCTGTCTGTGCACGCGCTAGCGGCTGTCTGTTCACGCGCTAGCGGCTGTCTGTTCACGCGCTAGCGGCTGTCTGTTCACACACTAGCGGCTGTCTGTGCACGCGCTAGCGGCTGTCTGTTCACGCGCTAGCGGCTGTCTGTTCACGCGCTAGCGGCTGTCTGTTCACGCGCTAGCGGCTGTCTGTTCACGCGCTAGCGGCTGTCTGTGCACGCGCTAGCGGCTGTCTGTTCACGCGCTAGCGGCTGTCTGTTCACGCGCTAGCGGCTGTCTGTGCACGCGCTAGCGGCTATCTGTGCACGCGCCAGTGGCTGTCTGTTCACGCGCCAGCGGCTGTCTGTGCACGCTCTAGCGGCTGTCTGTTCACGCGCTAGCGGCTGTCTGTTCACGTGCTAGCGGCTGTCTGTTCACGCGCTAGCGGCAGTCTGTTCACGCGCTAGCGGCTGTCTGTTCACATGCTAGCGGCTGTCTGTTCACGTGTTAGCGGCTGTCTGTTCACGTGCTAGCAGCTGTCTGTTCACGCGCTAGCGGCTGTCTGTTTCACGCGCTAGCGGTTGTATGATCACGTGCTAGCGGCTGACTGTGCACGCGCTAGCGGCTGTCTGTTCACGCGCTAGCGGTTGTCTGTTTACGCGCTAGCGGCTGTCTGTGCACGCGCTAGCGGTTGTCTGTTCACGCGCTAGCGGCTGTCTGTTCACGCGCTAGCAGTTGTCTGTTCACGCGCTAGCGGCTGTCTGTTCACGCGCTAGCAGCTGTGTGTGCACGCGCTAGCGGCTGTCTGTTCATGCGCTAGCGGCTGTCTGTGCACGCGCTAGCGGCCGTCTGTTCACGCGCTAGCGGCCGTCTGTGCACGCGCTAGCGGCTGTCTGTTCACGCGCTAGCGGCTGTCCGTTCACGCGCTAACGGCTGTCTGTTCACGTGCTAGCGGCTGTCTGTGCACGTGCTAGCGGCTGTCCGTGCACGCGCTAGCGGCTGTTTGTTCACGCGCTAGCGGCTGTCTGTGCACGCGCTAGTAGCTGTGTGTGCACGCGCTAGCGGCTGTCTGTGCACGCGCTAGCGGCTGTCTGTTCACGCGCTAGCGGCTGTCTGTGCACGCGCTAGCGGCTGTCTGTGCACGCGCTAGCGGCTGTCTGTGCACGCGCTAGCGGCTGTCTGTGCACGCGCTAGCGGCTGTCTGTTCACGCGCCAGCGGCTGTCTGTTCACGTGCTAGCGGCTGTCTGTTCACGCGCTAGCGGCCGTCTGTGCACGCACTAGCGGCTGTCTGTTCACACGCCAGCGGCTGTCTGTTCACGTGCTAGCGGCTGTCTGTTCACGCGCTAGCGGCCGTCTGTGCACGCACTAGCGGCCGTCTGTGCACGCGCTAGCGGCTGTCTGTGCACGCGCTAGCGGCTGTCTGTTCACGTGCTAGCGGCTGTCTGTGCACGCGCTAGCGGCTGTCTGTGCACGCGTTAGCGGCCGTCTGTGCACGCGCTAGCGGCTGTTTGGCTTGCGGCGACCCTGCTGCTGTGCCCGCGTGTAAAACCTCGCGCGCGGTCCGGCTCAGCGCAGTCTCGGGGGTCTCTGCCCCAAAGACGGCGCTGGAACACCACTACCGGGCTCACGTTCAGGGATCCATCCGCCAGGCTGAGCCAGTGTCTGCAACAGACTCAAAACGTCGTCATTGTTGTTGTTGTGGTCATTGTTGTTGTTTCGGAGAGCCCACTTCACCGTGTGTTCGATGCGCACTCGTGATGGACTGGACTCATACGAGCGCGCAATAGCAAATGTCCCTTACTTGCCCTCACCTGACTGTGGTCATCCAGAACAGGCCGTGCGACGCGTATCGGCGCAATGGCCCCATGCACCGATACTGGGGAGACGTCTCGGCGGCGATGCGACTCCGATCCTGCTCCTCACGCGGTTGTTCTGTGGCTTGGCCAAGCTGAGTGTCAAGTTGAAGCAGTTGCTCTGCGTCAACAACAGCAGCCGTAAGACAACAAGAAGAAGACCACATCGTCATCATCATCGTCGTCATCATCATCGTCGTCGTTGTCATCATCATCGTCGTCATCGTCGTCATCATCGTCGTCGTCATCATCATCGTCGTCGTTGTCATCGTCATCGTCGTCATCATCGTCATCATCATCATCGTCGTCGTTGTCATCGTCATCGTCGTCATCATCGTCGTCATCATCGTCGTCGTCATCGTCGTCATCATCGTCATCATCGTCATCATCGTCGTCGTCATCATCATCGTCGTCGCGCGGCGCGTTCAGGTGCGCTGCTCCTGCGGCCGTCTGGAACGCTCTTTCCTTCCGATATTAGGAAGCCACTGGGAGCTGTGCGCTCTTAAATCGTCCTCATCGTCTAGATTGACAAACTCATCTCTTTAGAGCCGCTTTTTGCGTGTAGTGTGTTGTCCCCCGCACCTCCGATTGCCACAGTTGGCTACGTACGGTGCGAAAAAAGTTCAACAACATACGTATGGGGGTAACCCATGCAAGCAGTAGGGTGCACACGGACGCTCTCTGTCAATTCGACGAATTCCATTATTCAAATCTTCGCAATTCGTTGCTCCGTGCCAAGAGAAACGGCAGTGTTTTCCAGAGGACAAATCGGGCTTTTCGACGTAACTCGGACTCGGTAAAATTCCGCGCGAACACAGCAAGTTTGAGAGTTTAAAAAAAGATAAATCAATGGTTGGGCCCCATTCTTAACGCCCCTCCCCCCCCCCCCCGTCACTCCCCCTCCCCCCTCTGCCTCCACTGTTGCTCGCCCCGGTGCCTCCGCGTCGCACAGCTGGAATTTTACCCGCACTCTGCCCCAGGCAGATGGCAACGCAAATGCACGAAGGGTCTCCGCCCTCCCACCACCACCACCACCGCCACCTCCTCCTCCACCGCCGCCTGCATCACAGCGTGAAGTGTATAAAGCCCGTCGCCTCTCCGGTGACAGAGGTACAACGCCGGCGTTCCTTCGCATCGACCGACCGACAGCGCATCTCGGCAACTTCTCTCGAAGCTATCCGACAGCTCCTGACCCCGTGGATTTACGATGATCTGCACAAGTGCAACGATGGTAAGGAGGCACACGCGCACCTCTTGTGTGTCTGTGCTGTCTGCGTCTTGTGTAAACATCGCCACCGGGGAGACAAAGGCGGTCGGGCGTGGTGCCGACCACCCACAACCCCCGTGTGCAGTGCCGGCCTTCGTAGGTGCTGCTCACTATCAGCACGTGCCCCAACAGTCTGTTAAAAACAAAAAAATGTTTGCTGTGGTTTTCCCACCTGATGATGATTGCTTGTGTTGCGATCGAAACGTCGTGATTTAATTTATATTTATTTTTTCTACCCACGTGACTTTACCGAAAGAACCAAAGCGTATGGACCCCTGCAGTCACGAAAACTTCAAATCTAGATTGAGTCTGTTAAGGCTACACGGTGGGGGGGGGGGGGTCTTTGTGTGCATCTCTCGCTCAGCGCCGTGCGGATTCACGCCAGCGACTGTGTTGCGTGCGAACGAGCGAGTCGACGCATCCGTCGTCTGAAGCGCAGACGCACGGCACGTACGAGCTCGTGACTGCGAAATTGACACTCGCGATGGGAGCAACGTTCAGGCGGAGGCGTTCAGTGTGCGAGCGGCCTCGGGGCGAGCTGCTGCAATGATTGCATGCAACACAACGGTTGTCTTTGGCGACCGATGTGACGATACGTTATTGTTTCGTTGTCGTTGTTGCGTCAAACGACGTCAGTGACATTTTTTGTGTCGTCAAACCTGCTCCACCCGACACGTAACGAATAAGCGCGGCCAATTTAGCACTGCCGCAGAGTGGCATGGTGCCAACAGGTGCGATTGTTGCGCAGAAGCTCCCGGTTGCCGATTTTCGCAGCCCTCATTTCGGGACGGCGTTTGGCTGAGCATTCGACCACATCGAGATTTGAAGCTTTCGTGACTGCAAGGGGTCCATACTCTTTGGTTCTTTCGGTAAAGTCACGTGGTAGGTAGAAAATAAATTAAATCACGACGTTTCGGGTGCTGCGCAGGCGTCCCACCTGATGACGGACGCCCGCGTTGCGCCCGAAACGCCGCGATTTATTTTATTTGATAGCTACTACGTGACTTTACCGAAAGAACCAAAGAGTACGCGACCCATCGTGAAGGTTGGCGGTGGGCAGCAGGAGGCCGGCGGCGGTGAGCGGTTGCCGGTTTCGCGTTCCAGCGTCTGACGTTCAGCGTGACAATACCAGCCACCTCACTGCGATTCCCGCTCGCGGCTAAGCCGAATATCGGAGCCGGTGCTGGGCATCCCCTAGGCCGGTTCGGTCTTAGGGGCCGTCCATAAATTACGTCACGCACCTGGGGGGGGGGGGCGGGGTCAGACATTTGTGACGATGTGTGACGAGGGGAGGGGGGGGGGTTGAGAAACGTGACGTCACGTGAAAATGCGCAACTTTAAATAAATATAGACAACACGTTCTGCTTAATTAAATAGACTTTTTGAATAAATGTTTTCTCCTACAACATCAGAGCGCAGCGCCACATTAAATACGCACTACAATGACAATAGTTTAAAGCGATTTGAAACATGTATTATATATTTTGGGGGGGGGGGGGGGCAGAGCTTTGTGACGTCATATTTGAGAGGGGTTCTGACTTTTTGTGACGCCGTGTGACGAAGGGGGGGGGGGGTCAAAAATCGCGTGACGTCATTTATGGACGGCCCCTTAATTAAGTTCCCGGTGCGGGGTGTCGACATCGGAGCTGTGGATAGAAATCCCTGCCGGGTCGTGGGTCCGGCCACACGACCTTCCACGTGCTCCCGTCCCGGCCTTAGCAGTTGCCCGCTAACAGCACTTGCCCTAAGCGGCCTGCCCAAGATGCATTCGTCCACTTGTCACGCGCGTAGTCAGCTACGGACCGTTGCGTTAAACGTCACGTGACCTGTTACGACGGCGTTTTCGCGGAGGCTGCCGTGCACCGGCGTCTCGAGTGAATTTGTCTCATCCACGATGACGATAATGAGAAAGAAAAAACACGTTGAAGATGACTTTTAATTCACTTCAGGCTTGCACGATGTCAACGGACGTGGCTTTAGCCAAGACACTGCTTTTTGTGTTTAGTTTGTTGTGCTTCGCCCCGCACCTTCGATTAGCGTGTTAGGCTAAGTACGGTGCGAAATAAGTTCAACATACATACATAGACCCACACAAAGACCCGTAGACTCACACAGAGACCCATAGACTCTAACGGGGACCCATAGACTCACACAGACACCCATAGACTCACACAGAGACCCATATCTTCACACAGAGACCCATAGACTCACACAGAGACCCATAGACTCACACAGAGATCCATAGACTCACACAGAGACCCATAGACTCACACACAGAGACCCATAGACTCAGACAGAGACCCACAGGCTCACACACACAGAGACCCATAGACTCACACAGAGACCCATATCCTCACACAGACCCATAGACTCACACAGAGACCCATATCCTCACACAGAGACCCATAGACTCACACAGAGACCCATAGACTCACACAGAGACCCATAGACTCATACAGAGACCCCTAGACTCACACAGAGACATATACTCACACAGAGACCCATATATTCACACAGAGCTCCATAGACTCACACAGAGATCCATAGACTCACACAGAGACCCATAGACTCGCACAGTGACCCATAGACTCACACAGAGACCCATATACTCACACAGAGACCCATAGACTCACACAGAGACCCATAGATTCACACAGAGACCCATAGACTCGCACAGTGACCCATAGACTCACACAGAGACCCATAGACCCACACAGAGACCCATAGACTCACACAGCGACCCATAGACTCACACAGAGACCCACAGACTCACACACACAGAGATCCATAGACTCACACAGAGACCCATAGACTCACACAGAGACCCCTAGACTCACACAGAGACTCATAGACTCACACAGAGACCCATAGACTCACACAGAGATCCATAGACTCACACAGAGACCCATAGACTCGCACAGTGACCCATAGACTCACACAGAGACATATACTCACACAGAGACCCATAGATTCACACAGAGATCCATAGACTCACACAGCGATCCATAGACTCACACAGAGACCCATAGACTCGCACAGTGACCCATAGACACACAGAGACCCCATAGACTCACACAGAGACCCACAGACTCACACAGAGACCCCTAGACTCACACAGAGAGACCCATAGACTCACACAGAGCCCCATAGACTCACACGGAGTCCCATAGTTCATTGTCCTTTCCCCGCACCTCCGATGAGCACGGTTGGCTACGTGGGGTGCGAAGTTCAACATACAGGAGGTGTTAAGATGCTCAAACATCAGACACATTTGAACACGAAGCAGCGAGTCTGCATTGACCACACACGCTTACGGTAGAACATGCCGGGAAATGTGAAGTCTGTTAACGGCTCCAACCTACATACTCACATCACGGCTACACGGAGGGAGTCGGGGGGCTGGTCTTTGTCCTTGCGTAACCGAAACATTCATCTGCCCCAGCGTGCGTCCACGACGAGACTCCTGCCGCTGTCGCTGCTGCTGCTACTGCCGCTGGCCTTGACGGTGGCGGAGGCGCGGGGCCACGCGGAGGAGCCCTGCCGCCAGGACGCGCCCGACGCCCTTCACCTCAAGCGGATGAACGTCCCCGAGGAGCTGCTGAGGCTCGCCAGCGTTCTGCAGGGCCGGCGGCGGCAGGGCGGCGAGGACTTCGCCCTGCCGCCCTGCCCCAGCCGCGGGGGGGTGCTGCCCCCCGGCAGCCCCCTACAGGAGCGCTCCATCTCCCCCTGGACGTACCGGTGCGTGTGGAAATACACGGACGAACGACACCATCAGCTATTGCCAGGCAACGACAAATTGCCGACAACCGTTGCCAGGCAACGATTATATCCGGCAACCGTTGCCGGGTAACGACTATTGCCGGGTCATGACTGTTGCCGGGTAACGACAATTGCCGGCAACCGTTGCCGGGTAACGACAATTGCCGACAACCGTTGCCAGGTAACGACTATTGCTAGGTAACAACTATTGCTAGGTAACAACTATACCTGGCAACCGTTGCCAGGTAACGGCTATTGCTAGGTAACGACTATTGCCGGGTAACAACTATATCCGGCAACCGTTGGCGGGTACCGACGATTTACCAAACGTTGCCAGAAGCGGAGTGGGCACGGGCTGGCCTAACGTGCCACAAGCGGCCGCCGCCGCCGCCTCGACCGCCCACGTGTGTTCTCCCCAGTGCCTGTGAGTCGCAGCCAGAAGGGTACTACCCACCGAGTAAAACCTGAAGAGCTAAGAAGCTCTTTTTGACGGGCGGCTCAGCCGGCAGTCGACATTAATAGCGTCCTACAATTAGAGATTAAAAAAAAACTTCATAACCGTGATAGCGATTGTTGTAAAATTACATTCGCACTTAAACTTGAGTGATTTTTTTTTAAATAATAGAGTCAGTTCAAATGAGGACATACATGGCACATATGGAGATGTATGTTGAATGAAATGTTCAGTGGACACCGAGGGGCTATCTGCCAATGGATCGTGATGATGATGCTGAACTTCCAACCGTGCTAATCGGAGGTGCGGGGGAAGGACGACAATCCAAACACAAAAAAGGCAGTGCTTAAAAAAATAGCTTGTCAATCTAGGTCAGTGGTTCTTCTTCTTAACCTGGGGTGCACGCTGCACTCCCTGGGTGTGCGAGATGCCCTTTCTGGGGGTGCGAGACATGGGCAGATTTTTCTTTTAGAAGGTAAATCATTAAAACACAAATTAAGCGAGGACACGTAAGTACAACCACTTTGTTTCATCAAACCCCGAAGTATTTATTAACATTATACATTGTTACCGATCGAGAACCAAAGGGGTACAGAGCTGCAGTGAAGGGTAAGCACCACTGATCCAGATGGTTTAGCTCCAGTGGCTTCCTAATATTACAAGAGCGTTCCAGACGGCCGCAGAAGCGCATACGAAAGCGCGCGATGCAAGTGACCGCCTTCAGCCAAGGAGGTGCCGCGATGGTATTCCGCTCTTGAGCGACAGCGGCGACACCAAAAGTACCAAACATCAATGCATCAATTATTTGAATCACAGCAACTCGGCCATCAGGAGTCGACAATCCAGTAGTGATCTGAGCCAGTCCCAAGCCCGCGTACATAGGAGGACGAAATGTGCAGAGGGGCCGTCCATAAATGACGTCATGCACCTGGGGGGGGGAGGTCAGACATTTGTGACGATGTATGACGAGGGGAGGGGGTTGAGAAATGTGACGTCACATCAAAATGCGCAACTTTAAATAAATATAGACAACACGTTCTACTTAATTAAATCGACTTTTTAATAAATGTTTTCTCCTACATCAGAGCGCAGCGCCACATTAAATACGCACTACAATGACAATAGTTTAAAGCGATTTGAAGCATGTTTTATTTATTTGGGGGGGGGGGGCAGAGCTTTGTGACGTCATATTTGAGGGGGAGGTCTGTCTTTTTGTGACGCCGTGTGAAGACAGGGGAGGGGGGGTCAAAAATCGCGTGACGTCATTTATGGACGGCCACAGAGAACACCTAGGGGCTACCTGCCACATGGATCGTGGTGACGACGACGATGATGACAACGTTGACACAATCGCCGTTGTCTCCCCCACCGCAGGCTGAACCGCAAGGCGGACCGCGTGCCCGAGGTGCTGCCCGAGGCGGCCTGCCTGTGCGCCGGCTGCGTGGAGCCGCACTCGGGCCGCGAGACGCACAGCGTCGTCTCCGTGCCCGTCATGGGCCACGTGCGCGTGCTGTACCGCGAGCGGGCCGCGTGCGAGCCGGGCCACGCGCGCTACGAGGAGCGCTGGGAGGAGATCGCCGTAGGCTGCACCTGCGCCGTGTACTCGGTGGCCAAGTAGGGGCCGGACGGGGGATGGGGTGGGTGTTGGGCGTGTGTGTCAGTGTGCGTGTGTCTCAGTGCGTGTGTCTCAGCGTGTCTCTCAGCGTGTGTGTGTCTCTCAGTGTGTGTGTCAGTGTGTGTCTCAGTGCGTGTGTCTCAGTGCGTGTGTCTCTTAGTGTGTGTCTCAGTGCGTGTGTCTCAGTGCGTGTGTCTCAGTGTGTGTGTCTCTCAGCGTGTCTCTCAGCGTGTGTCTCAGAGCGTGTCTCAGTGCGTGTCTCAGGGTGTGTCTCACTGTGTGTGTCTCTCAGCGTGTCTCTCAGCGTGTGTCTCAGAGCGTGTCTCAGTGCGTGTCTTAGGGTGTGTCTCAGTGTGTGTGTCTCTCAGCGTGTCTCTCAGCGTGTGTCTCAGAGCGTGTCTCAGTGCGTGTCTCAGTGTGTGTCTCAGTGTGTGTCTCACTGTGTGTGTCTCTCAGCGTGTGTCTCAGAGCGTGTCTCAGTGCGTGTCTCAGTGTGTGTCTCAGTGTGTGTCTCAGTGTGTGTGTCAGTGTGTGTCTCAGTGTGTATCTCAGTGTGTCTCTCAGTGTGTGTCTCAGTGCGTGTCTCAGTATGTGTCTCAGTGTGTGTGTCTCTGACTCAGTGTTCACAAAAACAAAGCTCCCAGCAGGTAACCAGGTGTAATCATGCCAGCCCATGAACAGTATCGGACTTGCACGTCAGCTCTGTCATCATCGTCATCATCATCAGTCGTGATCTATCCACTGCTGGATGAAGGTCTACCGAAGCTGGCACGCGTCCTCTCGGGCGCGTTTTCGTAGTGTCCGCCTGCCGCTCCGTTACGGTGGTCGATCATCATCCATCGATCATCCTCTATCATTGTCCATCGATCATCATATATCATCGTCCATCGATCATCGTCCATCGATCATCCTCTATCGATCATCGTCCATCGATCATCGTCCAGCGATCATCCTCTATCATCGTCCATCGATCATCCTCTATCGATCATAGTCCATCGATCATCGTCCATCGATCATCATCCATTGTCCCTTCTGATCGTGATGTGCCCGGCCCAAAATCCCACTTTCCGATGAAGCCATTCAATCTGCGCAAGCGCGTCTCTTCTGCAGCGACGCGAGCACGGATTTTATTATTCGTAATTTATTTATCCAGATCAGAATCCGAATATTTATTTACTAGCACCATTGGGACCGTTGGACAAAGGAAATCTCCCCCGTGGCCATCAACTTCGCGGTCAGGTGGAGAGCCCCATGGACGCTTCACCAGCCCCCTTGCTTGGAGGGGAACCTGTCTTCCCACAAGCTCGACGATCATAATCATTTTTATTATAATCACTTTCAATTTATTACATTGCACGGTTCCGCTTCTTCGGCTGTATCGTTGTCACCCGCCTGGGACGAACTTACTCGAGAGCTGGGATTGTTGGCTGCCTTATTTGCTCAAACATGTGCCGCTTTACTTACTCCTTTGCTTCCGTTTGCAGTTACCGTAGTGAGTAGTTTGGGCTCGGCATGTAAACCCTTGGTAAGTTTGGGAAACTGATTTTAGTCTCTGGTAAACTTTAGAGATCTGGAGACCCGGGCCAGGGCTGTCACGGCCCGGTGCTCTGACGCGGCCAATACAAGCCACTTTCCCAAGTGCCAGATTCTCAGTGGCTATGTCACGCAACAGCTGAATATGTTTAGACAGTAAGTCCTCGTTTCGCACGGTCGGTGCGATTCCTGAAAAGTGCCGCGCTCGAGGAAAACGGTTTCCCCCCGCCCACCCCCCAAAAAATAATGCAACGATAAAGATTGTCGAGATGAGATTTACTACGACGACTACGCACACCACGCAGTGAGATGGCGGAACAATTAGCTGAGGTTATGCCGCCGCTGGGTTATAGAATCATTCGGCGTGCTATATCATTCGGCGTGCTGTATCACTCCGCTCAGCGGCGCAGCTCAGTAAAGTATTTCGTCGTCGACTGCTCAGAAGCCGCGTCATTACGGCACGTGCTCTGCGTTATAGCGGTGCACCCTCCGCGCTGTATCGGTGTACGTTTCGGGTTATAGCGGTGTGCGTTCCGTATTGTAACGGCGCACGTTATAGCGGTGTGCGTTCCGCATTGTAACGGTGCACGTTATAGCGGTGCGCGTTCCGCATTGTAACGGCGCACGTTATAGCGGTGTGCGTTCCGCATTGTAACGGCGCACGTTATAGCGGTGTGCGTTCCGCATTGTAACGGTGCACGTTATAGCGGTGTGCGTTCCGCATTGTAACGGCGCACGTTATAGCGGTGTGCGTTCCGCATTGTAACGGCGCACGTTATAGCGGTGTGCGTTCCGCATTGTAACGGTGCACGTTATAGCGGTGCGCGTTCCGCATTATAACGGTGCACGTTATAGCGGTGTGCGTTCCGCATTGTAACGGTGCACGTTATAGCGGTGTGCGTTCCGCATTATAACGGTGCACGTTATAGCGGTGTGCGTTCCGCATTGTAACGGTGCACGTTATAGCGGTGCGCGTTCCGCATTATAACGGTGCACGTTATAGCGGTGTGCGTTCCGCATTATAACGTTCCGCATTTCGTGTTATAGTGGTACGCGTTCCGCGTTATAGCAGTGTGCGTTCCGCGTTATAGCAGTGTGCGTTCCGCGTTATAGCGGTACGGGTTTCGCGTTATAACGGTGCACGAGTCCTGTGTTTTTGCACGGGCGACCCGGATGTGGACACATTACACGTTTACATTGTAATGCTCCGTTTACCTAATGCATGTAATGCATTATATAGTTCGTTGTACCAGCTATGTTGGAACTTAAAATATTTCTTTTTCAATGGCTGTTACTAAATTTATACGAATGATGTGTTTTATACCCGTTATATTCAACTACCACACGTATATTTATAATTTACATTGCATTTTTATTGTTTGTCATACAAAATGCAAAGAGAAATGGTTATGGCTTTGTTCAATGCGGTTTCAAATATTACCAATGTGTTACGTGTCGTTCGAGATAGATACTTTGATGTGCTATGGAACTTTCCCTTTAAAAAAACCCACTTCTACACAAACGTTAACATTTCAAAATAAGCTAACTTATATCCGGGATATGCATGGCGAGGCATCAATAATAATAAATTATAATATTTAAACCTTTCCGTGTCTTCGTTATGTCTGCTCAACTGTTGTTCCATGTGCTGCGTTCTCACGTGACTGATACAGTGGTAATGCAAAGGATAGTTTGTTCCCTGCCATGGGAATGTGGAATTTCCACAACTTGCTCAGAACCCCCATTCCCGCACCGCCACTCACAGAGATAAGTGCTGTTCGAATGCTCGCTTGAGCAGAAGCCGACGTCCCAATAGCCACACTTGACTTCCCACTAAGTGCTATGCGCTTCTGGAATCTTATCTTTTTTTAAAAAAAAAAAGTCGCTTTGGCCACTTTCATTCCGACTGAGCTTATGATGTCAAACTGAGTTGTCTATAGCGACATTCACACTAGGCATCATATAGCTTTACAACATAATCCCAGTAAAACAAAAAAAAACAGCCTTAACATCAAAACCAAGAGGAAAGCAATCCTCAACACAGAGATATTTGAATGTGTTTTCAGACGAACAATGACGGGAGCGTCCCTAACGAACCGGGTCAAGACATTCCACAAACGAGGGCGCCTGACTAGGGGCCGTCCATAAATGACGTCACCCACCTAGGGGGGGGGGGGAGGGGGTCAGACATTTGTGACGATGTGTGACGAGGGGGGGGGAATTTGAGAAATGTGACGTCACATCAAAATGCACAACTTTAAATAAATATAAACAATATAATTGTTATAAAAATAATTTTGATAAATTTTCATTATTAACTCTTTGATTATTTAAATGTACTAAAGTCACCTTTTATTTATTCCATGAAGGAGCATTTTACTTCTCCATGGGAGAATGGAGAAGCATAAATGTAGTAATTTTATTGAACTATTGTTATTAAATATTTTTATTTTAATGATTCTATCAGGGCTTTTCATTCTGTGGAATGAATATGTGATTGTTATAATTGTACTCCCCATTTTGTTTTTAATATTTTATAATTATAAGAGAATTTCAATATAATATTCTGAACATCTGCAGTTTTAGTTAGACGTTGAATATTTTCAAGATAATTTTATGCTAAATTTCAGCTTTCCAACGCCTCCTTTTAAATAAATGTTTTCTCCTACAACATCAGAGTGCAGCGCCACATTAAATACGCACTACAATGACAATAGTTTAAAGTGATTTGAAGCATGTTTTATTTTCAAAATGGAAATATGTTTTTTGGGGGGGGGGGCAGAGCTTTGTGACGTCATATTTGAGGGGGGGGGTCTGACTTTTTGTGACGCCGTGTGACGAGGGGGAGAGATGGGGGGGGGGTCAAAAATCGTCCCCAATCGCGTGACGTCATTTATGGACGGCCCCCTAGGGAAAACTCCATCACCCATTGAGCGCAGATTTGTGACAACAAGAAGTATCCGGCCGGATGGAAGCGGATATAACACATCGACTTCTGCCCCCCACCCCCCCCCCCCCCCCCCCCCCCCCCCCCCCCCCCCACAAAGTCGGTCGCACTCATCACACACAAAGTGCTTGCCACAAATAAACCACGATACCTTGCTCATCTCGCCAAGCAGCTATAAACCATCACGCAAACTCTGGTCATCCTCGCAGCAGCGACTTTAGTGCGCACTTTCAGATGCGCTTCTCCAGCCGTCTGGAACGTTCCTCCTTCCGATATTAGGAATCTGCTGGGGCTATGCACTTTTTTAATCACCTGGATTAAAAACTAATTTTTGTACTGCTTTTTGTGTTTAGTTTGTTGGCCTTCCCCCGAACATCCGTTTCGCGTGGTTGGCTACGTAAGGTGCGAAAGAAGTTCAACATACATACTTACAAACCAGTGACGTGCGGTGAGGTCAATGGCTGGGGAGGCACTGGCGAGTGTCAGAGCCAGATTCACACGCTGACGAGGGCGTGGCCTCGTTGAGGGGGCGTGTCCTCACTGAGGGGGGCGTGTTAGACACGTCCCCCTCAGTGAGGCAGATGTGATAGT